TTTTTGCAATTGTCAAAGTTAATACATAATTTGTGAACACTTCCCTATTATTTTCTTCAAATGAGATGTTGACAAGAGTCAGGGCCAGCCCTGTGGCAAGGCAGAAGGGGCCTACGTCAGTCGACACCTCCAGCTAGCCATTGATAGCCATGAAACCACCAAGAGAGGGCGAGACTGGACGCTGAAGCCCTGCAATGTAGTCTGTGCAGACTTGTGCAAATTGTATTTGTGAAATTGTGACTTGTGAGTTGTGCAATTTGTAAATTGAAATTGTAATCCATTTTAATTGTCTTTCTTTTTAATTTTTGGGTTCCTATGATCTTATCTATGGTTTAGTTTCCACTTTCTGATTTTTGAAAATAGTTGAATTGGATTTCTGGTGGAATTGCAATTTGCAATAGGATTCTGAATTTAAACGGAATAGATTAATGCAATAGAATTGTATATTTGTATTGGTGGTTGAAGTTAAATTTTTATTTCAAGCTTGTGAGTTGTGATGATGGAATTTTCAGGGGTTTGATTCCATAATTTTTGTTGAAATTCTACTTCTAGGTAAGCAAGGGCTGGCCCTAACTTATCATTGAATATATTGGAAATGTTTGAAACCTTGTTATCTTATATAATTGCAGCCTAGTCGGCTTACATGATTAGTTATTGTAGGATAAATAGCAAATACGCACATAATGACTATATTGAAAACTTTAATTTTGAGATGATTGATATATTTTGTAATTGTCTTTTAGGTTAATCATTAGGCATTAGATATAGACTCATACACCATCCCTCCTAAATATGAGTTCGTAGCTCTAAAGAGAAAAATGAAATGAAATGAAATTGCATTAACTCAATATCAAGTTGGGGATATTGACAAGTACTTTAAAAGCAACAGGGTGAAAGCGTTGAATGATGATGAAGTAGTGATTCAACGTGTCTGTGTTAATGAGGTAGATGATAATGATGAATGAGGAAGAAGAAGTGATGAATCTTGCTTGTGTTAATAAAGTAGATGATGAAGAAGAAGAAGTGATGAAACTATCTATGTTAATGAATAGATGATAAGAAAGAAAAGGGTTGCTTTTCTTTGAATTTGGATTATTTTGGGAATGGAAAATTCGTTGATCAAATAACGAGGAATTTTTTAGTTGAAATGGGTCCAAAAATAGTTGATGGCATCTTGTTTTCCAAAGATTGTGCAAATAGACATTTGATTCTTCACAATATAAGTGATTACTACTAAATGGGCAAACAATTGATAGAAGATGGCTAGTATATTCAGTATCTATGGATGGGATCTTCTGCTTTTGCTGGAAGTTGTTTAAAACACCAAAAAATGTGACTAAAGTTGGCAAACTAGGTAATGATGAATTCAAATATTGACATAATTTGCATTGGTCTATTAAAAGTCATAAAAGAAATGAGGAGATTTATGTTGCATGACTAGTATGATTGAATTCGAAAATAGGGTTCGAACAAAAACTACAATTGTTAAAAGTGTTTAATTGATGATCGATTCAGAAAGAGAAACTGGAGACATGTAGTAACGAGGATAATCGCTATTGTGAAAAAACTTGCCAAAACCATCTAGTCATTTTGAGGAGATGGTGAGAGGCTACATATTGAGAATAATAACATGTTTTTACAAATGGTGGAAATTGTTAGTGAGTTTGATCTAGTAATGCGAGAGCACATTCGGCGGGCTAAGATACGTAAGATTCAGTATAAATATCTTAGCAAAACAATTCAAAATGAGTTGAT